TTTATCACATTGATTGATTTGCATACATTGGAGAATCCTTGCATTCCTGGAATAAACCTCACTTGATCATCATGCATGATCCTTTTAATGTGCTGTTGAATTCTGTTTGCTAGTATTTTGTTGAGGATTTTTGCATCTACGTTCATCAGTGATATTGGCCTGTAGTTTTCTTTCTTTGTGACATCCTTGTCTGGTTTTGGTATCAAGGTGATGGTGGCCTAATAGAATGAATTTTGGAGTGTTCCTCCCTCTGCTATATTTTGGAAGAATTTCAGAAGGGCAGGTGTTAGCTCTTCTCTAAATGTTTGATAGAATTCACCTGTGAAGCCATCTGGTCCTGGGCTTTTGTTTGTTGGAAGATTGTTAATCACTGTTTTAATTTCAGTGCTTGTGATTGGTCTGTTCATATTTTCTATTTCTTCCTGATTCATTCTTGGCAGGTGGTGCATTTCTAAGAATTTGTCCATTTCTTCCAGGTTGTCCATTTTATTGGCATAGAGTTGCTTGTAGTAATCTCTCATGATCTTTTGTATTTCTGCAGTGTCAGTTGTTACTTCTCCTTTTTCATTTCTAATTCTATTGATTTGAGTCTTCTCCCTTTTTTTCTTGATGAGTCTGGCTAATGGTTTATCTATTTTGTTTATCTTCTCAAAGAACCAGCTTTTAGTTTCACTGATCTTTGCTATCGTTTACTTCATTTTTTTTCATTTATTTCTGATCTGATTTTTATGATTTCTTTCCCTCTGTTAACTGTGGGTTTTTTTGTTCTTCTTTCTCTAACTACTTTAGGTGCAAGGTTAGGTTGTTTATTCGAAATGCTTCCTGTTTCTTAAGGTGGGCTTGTATTGCTATAAACTTCCCTCTTAGAACTGCTTTTGCTGCATCCCATAGGTTTTGGGTCATCGTGTCTCCATTGTCATTTGTTTCTAGGTATTTTTTGATTTCCTGTTTGATTTCTTCAGTGACCACTTCGTTATTAAGTAGTGTATTGTTTAGCCTCCATGTGTTTGTATTTTTTACAGATCTTTTCCTGTAATTGGTGTCTAGTCTCATAGTGTTGTGGTCGGAAAAGATACTTGATACAATTTCAATTTTCTTAAATTTACCAAGTCTTGATTTGTGACCCAAGATATGATCTATCCTGGAGAATGTTCCATGAGCACTTCAGAAAAATGTGTATTGTGTTGTTTTTGATGGAATGTTCTACAAATATCAATTAAGTCCATCTTGTTTAACGTATCATTTAAAGCTTGTGTTTCCTTTTTTATTTTCATTTTGGGTGATCTGACCATTTGTGAAAGTGGGGTCTTAAATTCCCCTATTATGAATGTGTTACTGTCGATTTCCCCTTTTATGCCTGTTAGTATTTGCCTTATGTATTGAGGTGCTCCTATGTTGGGTGCATAAATATTTACAGTTGTTATATCTTCTTCTTGGATTTATCCCTTGATCATCATGTAGTGTCCTTCTTTGTCTCTTCTAATAGTCTTTAATTTAAAGTCTATTTTGTCTGATATGAGAATTGCCACTCCAGCTTTCTTTTGGTTTCCATTTGCATGGAATATCTTTTTCCATCCCCTTACTTTCAGTCTATATGTGTCTCTAGGTCTGAAGTGGTTCTCTTGTAGACAGCACATATATGGGTCTTGTTTTTGTACCCATTCAGGCAATCTGTGTCTTTTGGTGGGATTATAGTTGAAAACTTCCCTAATATGGGAAAGGAAATAGTTAATCAAGTCCAGGAAGCACAGAGAGTCCCATACAGGATAAATCCAAGGAGAAATATGCCAAGACACATATTAATCAAACTGTCAAAAATTAAATACAAAGAAAACATATTAAAAGCAGCAAGGGAAAAACAACAAATAACACACAAGGGAATCCCCATAAGGTTAACAGGTGATCTTTCAGCAGAAACTCTGCAAGGCAGAAGGGACTGGCAGGACATATTTAAGGTGATGAAGGAGAAGAACCTGCAACCAAGATTACTCTCCCCAGCAAGGATCTCATTCAGATTTGATGGAGAAAATAAAACCTTTACAGACAAGCAAAAGCTGAGAGAGTTCAGCACCACCAAACCAGCTTTACAACAAATGCTAAAGGAAAATTAATTTTATCTGGTTTTCTGGATCCTGGAAATTTCTTAACATCAGAAGAAAAGAATAGAAAAGATAACAATGGTCTAGCTAATAGTTGGCATTGATAGGTCCCTCTTAAGTACTGAAATGTGACAGTCTTAAAACAAGTGACTGGTTAGGCATAGTGAACAAATGAATAATAGCTGGGAAACAATGAATATTATTGAAGTCTAGTGAAAAAAATAGTGAAACTTTCTTTTTTTCAATGTGGAAAACATCCATATGTAACAATGGAGTGGAGTCAAATTAGTAAGTGCTGTGATAGAGGTATACATTGAATGACATTACAGAGTAGGAGTAGTGATTCTCTGTGACTGAAGTGCAGTACACTTTGGAGAATGTGGAGGGAAATGAGATTGGATGGCTGAGTGGTAGTTGGATATTGGAAGTTCTTGAATACCAAACTAGAATGTTGGAACTTAAATTTGTGACAAGACATAAATGGCTGTTGAGTAGGAGTTTTATATCATTTGAAATACTGTTCTCTGGACAGCATTATAAAATTAGAACTGGGAAGGCAGGAAATTAGAGTTAGGGGTTGGAAAGCCTCAGAACAGCACATAAAGACTTCAACTTTTGTAAACTTGATGCCTTGGGTCTTGACTATTTCATAATATTGCCATCTCAATATTATTTCTAAAGTCTTATCACATAGATATTAGTTCTAAAAGTGAGCAAGTGCTTAAAATGATTATTCTTAAAAAGAATAAGAATAAACTTTCTTCAAGATGCTTATAGAAAACTATTACAAATAACTAAGCTTTTACCAATATAGAAAACCACTTTTTAAGAGGAAAAATTAAGCAAATAAATAAAAATGGGTATTTACTTTTGACTTTACAAAAATTATTTTTAATGACAAATATCATAACATATATAGAATTCACTTACTAGACACTTGTTTAGTACATGGTGAAATACTGTTGAAATGTATTTAAGAGTTACAAAAGACACCAGGAGCTTTATTTAAATAAAGGCCATATACATTGGAATAAAGGCTCGTCTCTTGATTTAGAAACAAATAGTTGTCTTGAACTGTTTGTTCTAAATATATTTGTTCTTGAAAAATGTAGCTTGTCTTTTAGTTGACAAATTTTTTAGATGATAATTTTGGGTCAGACAGAAATTGTCTTTCTTAATAATAGATTAAAAATAAAATTAAACATAACTCTCAGAGATTAGAAAAAAAGGAGAAAGGTATTTCTTAGATAGATTCATAGGAAGACACAGATACATGGAATTTCAAATTGTATTGGAAGGAAAAGATGATTCTCCAAAAGTCATAGATTTTTGTATTTCTTATTTTCTTTTATTAAAAATAACAATAATTATTAGATCACAGATTTTAAAGTAGTCTGAAAGAGTTAACTGGCAACTACCCCTATATTTGAGAATTTTTTAAATGCTGGACAAAATATAAAAAACTGCAATATAACAGTGTGGAGCCTGTAGTTTTAGTTGGTATATAGAAATGCACCTAGGAATTTTATATCTAAAAGTTTAACTTTTATAGTAGAGATATACCAGTACAAAATCTACAAAATTAATGAGAGCCATCAAAAAACTAGGAAAAGAAAGTATAGATAACACTACTTATATAGGCTAACACAATGAGCTAGGATTTGATTTTCAAATTACAGATAATGACCCATTAGTGAATTCTGAAATCAATTTTGTGGGTCAAGACCTGCATTTAAAAAAAAGTAATACAGAAGAATAGGATACCATAGTAATAAACAGAAAATATGAGATAAGGATAAGTATTATTCATAATCTTTTATTTAGTTGTGCGTGTCCAGAGATGAGATATAAAATTCATAACTTAGTACAGACTGTGGATGAAAATGCTTGAAAAACCTGAGCTAAAGGGTCACACTCAGAAAATGGTCATCAATGTATCTGTCAACCTGAGGTGGAGTTCCACAGGAGAGTCCACTGGGGTCAGCCCTGAGTCCAGGGGTATTTTAGCATTTTGTCTATGTCTCAGATAATGAAAAGTAGAACACATTTTGCTAACAATGTCTAGTAGGGAGATGGTAAAGTACCAGAACCTTCGAATAGAGAACTGAGGTTTCATACTGCCCTTGAACATTGATAAACTGATCCAAGTGCAGTACTTTTTCAAGTTTTGGCTACATATTGGGAAAGATATGAGAGCTATACTTTTCTGATTATCTAAAAATAAGGCAGGGTTTCACAGGATTTGCAACTGAGTCAAGACAAACTTTTTAGTGATTTTAAAAGTGGTGTCTAATTTACTTATGCATTAGTAAAAAATGATAAGCAAGAGTATATAGAGCTTTACATTAAACATTTTTTTCTAGAACATGAATTTGGAATCATCAGCAATTATATTCTGATCTCAATACCATGTATTATATACAGGTAGAACTCTGAGAATTTATAAAATTAGCTAATATATTAATTTCAGAGAGGTTAAAATAGTGTGCCCTATATATCACTGAAAGGCTTCGGTTGTCTTCATAGAATTCAGTCCCTTATTACTTCTGAGCTACTATAGAATATACATTAGATATGAATGATTTACATAATTGAGATTATGATTGATATTGCTCTCATGGATGCCTCTTCAATGAATAAAAATTTTTTCCTCAGTCGAACAAATATAGGTCCTAACATAAGCCAGTGTATGTTTCTTCATTTGAGATTCTGATGTAAAGTTCTTATTGAAATATCATGATAGCTCAATGGAGATTTTTTTACTGTATATCTTTTCCCTCACTTTCTTGGAGGTAAATTAGAAGAAAACAACTTTCATTTGTGGAGGCAGGCCAACAATAATGTTATGATTTCACTCTGGTCCAGTACACTAGAATAAATAACTTACCTACTCCCACTTACCTTGCTACATGATTAATTACAGGAGCAAAGTTGGTTGGCCCATACAGTTGTACAGATTTCAGACTCCTATAATAAGCCTCCATGACACCCTCAATGCCATCACAGTAGGGGTTTTGAGGGTTCCCATTCTGTAGAAAGTTACAGGCAAAAAAAAAGTAAAGAATGAATAGTATCTGTAAGGCTCAATTAAAAAAGAGAATGATACAGGTTCATACTCATAAAGCTTTTTTGGATGAAAACTCAGTTATAGATTTATAATAGTAAAACATAATAATAAATTAAGTGATCAACATAGATTACATTTACATAGATTGTGATATGAGGTAATGTGCAATCATTAAAAATGGATACTTTTCAATTAAAGGGCAGGAGGAAATTCTAAATAATCTTGAGAAGCTGAATATCGTGACATTTTACAATTAATGATGTCTTATTTATACACAGGTCTGTGTACATACAGAGATAAACATATAAAAATCTAAAAAGAAGGAAACAAAATGTTAATATTTGTTATCTCTGAGTAGTTATAAATTGTTGATTTTTATTTCATTGTTTAGACTATTCTATATTTTCCAAGTTTTCTGCAGTGACATGTATTCAAATCAGAGAAAAAAATTCTATCAATTCAAACAGTTTTACTTTATAGAAGCAAAAATGTAAACTATCTGCCATATGCACATTTTCAGGCCACAATTAATAACCCCAACTAAAGAAGTGATCAGAGGGAATGTAATTTGGTGTGAGTAGCATCAAAACAAGGTAAAGAGAAAAGAATCAAAGAAACATATCCATATTGTTCAAGGGAATTGGAGCTTACCACCAGAGTTCTTATTCTGCAGATAGTAACCCAGAAGGGCAACTTTAAACCTGGAGACCTAGTCTAGCTTTCTCATACTTTGAATGCTCTATTAGGTTTAATTCTCCTAGTCCAGCTTCCACAAATAACACAAATAAGGCAGTGTTATCTATTGCTATGTAGCAAATTATCCCAAAAGTTAGTGTCTTAAAACAGTAGGCATTTATAATCCCATACATTTTTTTAGGCGTCAAGAATCCAGAAGCAGCTTAGCCAGGTGATTCTTGCTCAGGATCTCTCAAGAGCTTGCAATCAAGAAGCCAACCTGGGCTGCAGTCATCTGAAAGCCTGACCAGAGTTGGAGGATCTGCTTCTAAGAAGGCTCACTTACATGGTTTGCTGGCAGTAGGTCAACACAAACTCTGCATAGGGCTGCTTTAGTGTTCCAACAACATGGCAGCTAACTTCCCCAAAATGAGTGATCCGAGAGAGAGAGAGAGAGCAAGGAGGAAGCTCCAATAAGCTCCTAGTCTTATAAGTTGCATAGCATTACTTCTACTTTCATCTATTTGTTAGAAATGAGTCACTAAGTGTAGCCCATACTCAAGGGAAGAGGAATTAGGTTCCACCTCTGGAAGGGGGTAATATAAAAAAATTTGTAGCTCTGTTTTAAAACACTAGGGACAGTAACCATGCTTAAACATAGTCAGCAGTAATTTTAGCATGTATGTTTTTACCTGAACAATCAAAAGTGACTAGTAATTTATAACTTAAATTTGTTGAATTCTATATACTAAGCTTTATATTAAAATATTTACATACATTATATAATTTTTATAGTATAACAATCTAAAAAAGTAGATAAAATGCTATTATTATTCTCACTTTACAGATGAGGCACTGAGAGCTTAGATATTGTGCCCAAAGTCACGCAAAACCGGTAACAGAGAAAACATTTAAAGAGCCCCATCTCTTAACCAGCAGTACACCACCATATTACAAAATCCTAGCATTTTGAAAGACTGAGGATCTTAGGGAACTAAGTCAGATGTTACCAACCATTTCAATTTTGTCATTTGTGAAAGAAGGATTTATAACCATTGTCCTTTTAATTTTGTCTTTTTATTCAAACTTTTTATTTTTACCTCATGTAAATTTTTTTAAAACGTAAAAATAATAAAAGAACTCTTTATATTATAAAATTGCCTACAGGAATTGATTGAAATTAAAATGTGAAAGTTTAATATTTAGCACAAAGCAGTGACTGGTTGGTTTTGATGTTAATCTGAGCTGACCTTTAATTAGCCTTCCTTTTAATAAAATTTTATGGTGTTCTATCTCTTGATAAGGTATAAAGCTAATTAAAATTAAAACTCATTACTGATTTTGGGCATATAAAAATGTATTATATATCTGCCTTAAGGGAACAATTACAAACCAGGATAGTTCTGAGTTACTTTTTGATCAGCATTTTAACATTTTGACTGGAGGGATTTACATTTCTATAAAATTATGCATTTCCTTTATTCCTCTGGAAATAATAAAGTCACCATTTTCCCCACCATTTCATTTATCTTGATTAGAAAGATTTTATAAATCTTAAAAAAAAACATTTCTTAAAATAATTATGTGGAGAATTAGTTTTTGCTTGTTATGACAAATAAAAATAAGATTATGTGTGGCTCTAACACAAAAGTAAAACAGAATGTTCTTGAAAATAAGTACATTCAATTTTGTTGTTTATTAATGAAGAGGGCAGTGGATGCCCTATTTTATATTTCTTTTTTAATTAACAAACTTTTCCACTTCTGAAATAATGAATGTTAATTTGTAGAACATACAGAAAGTATAAAGAACAAAATTCAAAATGAGCAATAATCCCACACACAGACTTAAGTGAGGAGTGTCCAGCTCTCACCAGTTTTTTCCTTTCATTTGGCTCCCTGAGGGATTGTACTGGAGATTTAGATTCAGTTCTGGAAGTGAAGCTCAAAGTCTCTGTTGCTACCTATAGCCTATAACAATTTTCAGTGGGGCTAACATTCTGCAAAATGCTGAAGAGAGCTGTTAGGAGCTGTTGCTTTACTCTTTGAAATGTATCTGTAGCTGCCCAGAGACTGACTGCTTACTACAGGGGAAAGTTGAGAGAATTTTTCCTTTTATTCAATAAACAAATACCTATTGAGCTTCTATTTTCTGCATGCAGTGTTAAAGACCTTTGGTGATTATACTGTTGAATTTAGTTGGAAGAAAATGTGTACATATATTAAATTGCTCGATTTCTATAATTGCCAAAATAAGTGAAAAGTATGCCAGTGATTTTAGATATTTGGTAGGAGAAATCACTTGGACAGATGTAGCATTTCTCTCTATTGATCAACACAGAAGACCTTCTTTTAAGGGTCACTGGCTACATGCCCATTAGATAAACTTCCTCTAAAGCCTTACACTATAAGGAGTCATCAAGAATCATCACGAGACATGACATTCTTTCCACAACCAAAAGTGCTAATGTGGTGATATTAGTATATTTTTCCTTTCTTTTTCTATTCCCTTTTCTTTTTCCACTATATCTATTCTTACACATATTTCAAATGAAAAGCTGGGGCTTACCTTAAATCCTTTTGATTGAGTAAAGCTCAATTTCAACATCTGTGCTAGCCTCAAAATCACAATTAGGGATTTTAAATTATTTTTAAAGGCCTCCCTTGCTATCTGAAAGATTATTTGAATTTGGGGTGATAAACAGATTAATGACTGTGAATACATATCACAAATTCTTACCATGGAAATATGAGGGTTTGGTAATATTAGGTAGTACACTAATTGCCAGATTGACATGGACTGAAGTTTTTCTATTTGCCATTTTCAGCACCTACAGATATACATTGCAGTTATTTAGGCTGAAGTTAACACAAAAATCAAATGGAGCACTATCTCTCTGAAGACCTACTTAACCTTTGTCTTTCTTACTTATTCAAGAAAACAAAAGTGCTTTGAAAAAAATTAAAGTCATATAATTATTAGGTAACATTAAAGGTGAGGCATTATCATCATCATCAACATCATCATTGTTGTTTCATCAATTTTAGAAACTATTTTTCATGAATTTAAAGGGTTATGATCTCCATCCTATAAATATTTGAGTTGGTTTCAAAGAATCTTTTAGGATGCAACTAATAAAAAAGTCCCTCCTTTGCATAGGTTTGGTTACAAGGAATGAATGTGGAGGTAGGAAAAGCAGAAAATTAGAGGGAGAGAAAAAGGAAAAAACAATCATACACAAAGGTGAGAAGAAACTTATGGAAGGAAAATTAATCAACGTCATTTAGTTTAACATAATTATTCCTTTTCTTAAGCCTTAAAATAGTTCATGACCTTTTTCCTGAGGCACTTAAGACTCAGGAGCACATGAGTGATTTTCATGGTCTTATAAGTTTCTAGGAGAATTTAATTCTCTAAGGCACAACAAAATCTCAACAGATATTCATTTTTATATGACATTGGTGGTTGTGGCATGTGGCCTATTTCACAGAGGAAGAATTAAAACCTTGAGCAACCTTCCCCGAAATTGTGTGGAATAGAAAAAGCAAGAATAAGTATAGGGAAAAAAGTTAAAATATAGCTCTTAAAATATATTTAAGGAAGATGAAGTCTAATCATATGAAAGCTTCTGGGGGGCTATGTGTGTGTATGTGTGTGTGTGTGTATATATATATATATATACACACATACATAATGGTGTTCATAAAGGACATATCTAAGACGTGGGATTATTACAGATGCTTTTATAAAAAGTGGTTTAGTAGTGGTTAAGAATGTGGATTCTAAAATAAGACTGACCTGGGTTCAAGTCCTGTCCTCTGTAAACCTGATTAACTTCTGTGACTCTGAGCTAAATTATACAACTCCTGGGGGTACTCTTTTCACTGTATTTAATATGAGTGGCTCTTGATAGACTAGTGTGATGTGACAGTTGTTATATACCTATCCGATAAGAATTTTATGAAGATTATATAAGAAATGAGTATAAAGTACCTGGCTTGATAATCAGTAATTACTTAATAAATGATTGCATTATTGTTTATTTCTATTTTTCTTGCAGAACTTAAAATATATATATATTACTTTGTAACAAGAATAAAAACAATGAAAAAAGATCTACAAAAATATTGGGCATGGAAGAGTTTACTTTTACAATATATAGGGTAGGGTAGGGAGGCATTTCTGTTAGGAAAATCTAAATTTTTTCCAAAATGATATCTAACCATTCCTCCATTGAGTTTCCCATTATTTCATTAGAAAGTGCAAGTGAGAATAAGACTGATTAGGTGTATAAGCACCATCTGTGTGAAATTTATTTTAAAGGTAGAATGTAGTACATTGCTTACTTGTAATAATACAGCAGGAGTAGATTTATGTAAATTAAACATTAAAAAGAAAAATATTTATTCCAGTCATACTTACTCCATTATATTGAAACCATAATTAATTGTAGCCATAATTATTGCTTCACATTTGAAAAAAAAAATTCCAGTCATAACTAATCCTTTATAGTTGAAAAGAAATGACATTTTAGAAGATGGAAGATTAAGGATAGCTACACATTCTTTGATACCCCTCCCATTGAGAGGTGTTTCCCCTACCTTGAAACTGGGATGAACTTAGTGACTTGCCTGACCAAGAGAATGTAGGAGAAATAGCTTTCTGGGACTTCCAAGGCCCTGCAGTTTCTGCCCCAGCCTTTTAGAATACTCACTCTGGGAAAGCTGGTTGCTGTGTAAGAAATATGACTACCTTGAGACCGCTACACTATGATGAAGTCTGTGATAACCATATGGACAAGTTGTATGTAGAATGAAGGAAAGATGCCTAGACAACCCAGCTATTTCAGCCATCCTAGCTCAGGCATCAGACATAAGCTAATGAGCCATCTTAGGGGACATACTAGCTCCAGGAGATATGACATGGAGAAGAACTGAGGAATCTAACCAACAGCCAAAATAAAACCCAGATATATGGCTCTAGTAGAACAATTCCAGCCATCTCTAGCCAATCCCGGCATCCCAGGTGAGGCCCCAGACATCCTGAAGAATGTACCATCCCCCATTGTATTCTGCTCAAATTTCTGACCCACATATCACGAATATAACAGAAGGTGTTATGCAGCAATAGATAACCAGAATAGAGCTCCTATTTATAGATCAGATGCACTTTAGGTAAATTTACTGCTAATCTACTTAACTGTCTTTTTTCCCATTAGTATCACACTCCTAAATCAATCATTCACCAAAATTAAGCTGAGTGTATAGTCATAAGAAGTTGCTACATGAGTAATTAGAGCATAAGCAGCAAGCCAATGAAAAGATCCAACACATTATTTTTTTCAAAATATCAATTCTTTCAATGTATACTTACCAAAGCAAACTCATGAGATATCCTTCCATCTGGAGGCAGTTTTGCACCAAAACCTAAAGCTGGGAACATTTTATCACTGTCATAATCTTGAACGATTTCTCCCACTGCTTTCAGTGCCATACCATAGGCATTCAGTTGATAAGGATTCATGTAGTGGAGAGAAGTGGGCTGGGTAGGGTTGCCTGATGACAGAAAAAATATTTCAAACATGAGTGATCAGGCTAAAGATATAATTTTTTGGACTTATTTCTTGATATCTATTTCAGGTTAAATATTAAAAATTGTGTTTTCTGCCTACATTCATAGTATGTTAAATATTTTCTTTTGGATATTGACATAGAGATATTTATTAAATTAGATCAGATACGTAGAAAGTTTCCCCAAGATATGCTAAAGCATATGCAGATTTTTTCAAAAATTATTTCTCATTGTCAATGTCATAGGCTATTCTTGAGTTTCAGTCACAGAAGAAGCATAAAAGTATTTTTGTTAATCGTATTTTACTGTAATCTTTATTTTTAAAAATTGTGTGCCTTTAGTTTGAATCCTTATGCTATAATCAGAGGACCCAACTGATGTAATAGGCTTCAATAATTATGAGGCCTTCCTAAAGTTGTATCACAAACATAAGTTGAATATTTGAGACATATCTCAATTTAATTACTTGAAAAGAGGAGAGTGTAGAGATTTTCAAATTCATGCTAATTAAATATCTAGAGCTGAAAAATTATTCAGAGTTTCTAACTAAACTTTTAGCTAGGAGCCAAAAGGCTTGAAGTCGGGTCTTGCCATTTGCAGGACAACTATATAATTCCCATTATAAAGCCTACCACAGTATTTACTGGGAGGACAAAATAAGATTATGTGTGTGGAAGTGATTAAAAATTATAAAGTACCATAGAAATGTAAAGTTTAACTACTACTGTTATTATTGTCTGGGTCATCCACAAATGTAGGATGTTTCATTTGAATAAGATGAGTATGAGACAGAAAGTAATATATGGGCTACCACTCAAACACATTGAGATTCACATTCAGTTGCCCTAATTATCAGCACAAAGGCAGCCTGAAAGTCCCTTTAGTTTCTTAAGTGAAAATGGAAATTAAATGGGACTTGTAACAGCTCATAAAGCTCAATTCTACATTAAAACATTGTCCAAAGAAGAAATGCCTCAAGGCATAGTTCTTTTCTGATAGGAAAAAAATAATAATAACCACTTGAGATCCAGAGAGAAACAAAATAAAGATCTCCCTTTGGTTTATAATGCATATAATAATACCCAGACCAATTTTGGTTTCAAGATAATTCATTGTGTACATGCATTTATTTTTCCAAAGAGTTATCAGCATTCAAGAGCCAAATGACAAAATTTCTAAAAAAGTGTCTTCTGTCCAAGATGGGCCCTAATGTTCCCCTCAGCTTGCCTAAACTTAAGAAAGGTTGTCCCTGACCTCCTGTCTCTTAGAACATTTACTTTAGAAAACTTGGAATTGTGAATTCCTTCTCTGTTCCTTTGAGACGTAAATCCTCTACAATCCAGGAATGTCTTCCTCAGGGACGTGGGAGCCATCTCTTTGAAATGTAATCACCAAGAAAAATATCACCTCTGTTGCCTAGTCTCTATGGGAGAGCAGGACCCTACCTTCAGTAAGTGCTAATTAGTAAACACAGACGGCCTAATCACACAGACCAATTTCCCCTCCAATCTCTCAGTACTTAACCGCTAGTTCATCACAGCACTTAAAAACCCTCTCACCTTTTGCTTTGGAGGAATTGAGTTCAATTTCTTTCATTGCAATAGCTTTGATTTCTATTGCAAAAATTCTGAAACAAGTCTTCATTGCCTGTTTAACTCATCTGGTGCAATTTTTCTTTGACAGTTCTTTCTAAAGCAGGGATTTTGCCTCTTGTTCAAAAGCCTACCGGAGCCACAACTAAACGATACCACTACCAAGTTGTTATTTAACACAACTCTCAAATGTAAGAAGAATTGTTACCCATTAGTTGCAATATGCAACTAATTCTATTTCTCTAAGAAAACCACAACTTAAAGCTAAAATAAAAATGCTATTAATACCCCAGCATAACTAAACATCTTAGCCTATCATGCATAGCAGTGCCCAATCCTACCCATTCAAAGATGTTTCCTATCTCTTTGTAGCATCTTCATCCAGACCAATCTCTTCACTATACCACTAATGATGTTTTCTTTTCCATCCCTACCTCTCACTTTGCCACCCTATCCTGAAATTCACTTTCTCCTCCTCCTCCTCACATGCATAAGACAACCTTCCTTATTTATTCCAGCCCTTATTGTCTTTCCTCTCCTACTCTTATGCCCTTGTGTTCTGTACCACAAAATTTGGCAATTCCTTGAATCTGGGACCATATTTGTACCAGCTCTGTAACAGCAGCAATGCATATAGAAAAATGAACTTGTAGTAGGTTGGTAACATTGAGTTATTAGCTAATAACAATAATAATAGCATGGAATGTAACATGAACTTACTTCATATCTCACTTAATCCCTTTTCAACAAACCTATGACATGGGTACTTTTATTACACCTATTTTTCAGATCAAATAACTTTCAGATTAAATAACTTGACCAAATCACACAGTAATAATTGGTCAAACTAGAATATGAATCTAGGCAGATTCCATAGCCCTTACTCTTAGTTATAACTCTGCTTAAGGATTTTGAAATATTTTAAACCCTGAATATTTTCAAACATATCTGATTTTGTTTTAAATGTACACTACGCCTTTGTAAAAAAAAAAAAAAAGAAAAAAAACACTTGAATAGGCTCTCTTTTTTTTTTTTTTTGCGGTACGCGGGCCTCTCACTGTCGTGGGCTCTCTCGTTGCGGAGCACAGGCTCCGGACACGCAGGCTCAGCGGCCATGGTTCACGGGCCCAGCAGCTCCGCGGCATGTGGGATCTTCCCGGACCGGGGCACAAACTCGTGTCCCCTGCATCAGCAGGTGGACTCTCAACCACTGCGCCACCAGGGAAGCCCTTGAATAGGCTCTTTTAAAAAGCTTCATTGAGATATAATTCATATAACTTATCGTTAACCCCTTTAAAATGTACAATTCAATTATTTTAAGTATATTTACAAATAAGCAGAACCATCAATACAGTCAATTTTAGAACATTTTCATCACCTCAAAAAAATGTACTTATTTACAACCATTCCTTTATTACTCCATCCAGCCCAGCACTAAACAATGACTAATCTACTTTCTGTCTCTTTAATTTGCCTATTCTGGACATTTCATGTAAATAGAATTACACAGTATATGGTCATTTGTGACTAGGTTTCACTTAGTATAGTGATTTCAAGGTTCATCTGTGTTGTAGCATGTTTTGGCACTTCATATTTCATTCCTGTTTATTGCCAAATAATATTCCATTGTATGGATATACCACATTTTAAAATCAGTTTATCAGTTGATGGACATTTGGGTTGTTTCCACATTTTGGCTATTATGCTGCTATAAACATTCATGTACCAATTTCTGTGTGGATATAGGTTTCCATGTCTCTTGCATATATATCAAGGGTGGAACTGCTGGGTCATATGGTAACTCTACATTTAACAACTTGAAGAACTGCCAGAGTCTTCCAAAGTGGCTGCACCATTTTACATTCTCATCAGCAGTATATGAGGATTCCAACTTCTTCACATGCTCACAACGCTTATTGTTTTCTGACTTTTGGATTATAGTCATCCTAGTGGGTGCGAAATAGTATCTCATTATTATTTTGATTTGTGTTTCCTGATATGTAAGTATGCCAAGTACATTTTCATGTGCTTACCGGTCATTTGTATAGCTTTTCTGAATAACTGGAATACCACTTTTAATTGAGTTGTCTGTTTTCGAGTTATAAGAGTTCTTTATATATTCTAGATACAAGTCTTCTATGAGATATTTGATTTGCTAATATTTTATCCCATTCTGGGGTTTGTCTTTTCACTTTGTTAATTATGTTCTATGGTGCATAAAGAAGTTTTAATTTTGATGGAGTTCAGTTTATTTATTTACTCTTGTCGCTCATGTGTTTGGTGTCATATCTAAGAATCAATTGTCAAACCCAAGGTCATAAAGATATATCCCTATGTTTTCTTCTAATAGCTTTATAATTTTAACCATTACATTTAGATTTTTGATCTATTAAGGGTCCAACTTCATTATTTTGCCTGTGGCTATCCAGTTGTCCCAGTACCATTTGTTGAAGAGACTATTCTTCCCCCATTGAATTATCTTGGTACCCTTCTCAAGATCAGTTAACCTTAGATGCATGGGTTTATTTCTGGAATCTCAATTCTATTTCATTGATCGATATATCTATCTTTATGCCAGACCTACACTGCCTTGATTACTGTTGCTTTGTACTAAGTTTCAAAAATGAGTATGAATCTTCCTACTTTGTTCTATTTTTTTCAAATTTGCTTTGGTTCTTCTGGGCCCCTTTAAATTCCAAATGAATTTTTGGGTCAGTTATCCATTTCTTCAAAAAAGACCTTTCAGATTTTGATAGAAATTACAGTGAATCTGTCAATCTCTTTGGAAAATATTGCCATATTAACAATGTTGAATTTCCTAATCAATGAATGTGGCATATTTTTCAACTAATTTAGATCTTTAATTTCTTACAAAATTTTTTCAGAATATAATTTTAGGGTATAAGTTTTGCACTCACTTTGTTAAATTTATTCCTAAGTACTGTATGCCTTTTGATACTACTGTAAATAGAACTGTTTTCTTAATTTCATTTTCATATTGTTCATTGGAAGTGTATAGAGAAAGAATTGATTTTTATATATGGATCTTCCATCCTTCAATCTTGCTGAACTCATTTAATAGTTCTAATAGATTTTTAGTGGATTCCTTAGGATTTTCTACATAAAATATTATATCACCTGCAAATAAAAATAGTTTTACCTCTTCCTTTCCAATCTGGATGTCTTTTATTTTTTTTCTTGCCTAATTGCCCTGGCCGCCAGTACAATGTAAAATAGAAGTAGCAAGAGCAGACATCCTTGTCTTTTTCCTCATCTTAAGGTGAAAGCATCAAGCTTTTCACCCTTAAGTATGATGTTGGCTATAAGTTTTTATATTTTCCCTTCATAAGGTTAGTAAGTCACTTTCTATTCCTAGTTTACGTGGTTTCATTACAAAAGTATGTTGGACTTTGTCAAATTCTTTTTCTATATCAATTGAAGTGACCATGTGTTTTTTACACTTTCTTCTATTGGTACAGTGTATCACATTATTTGATTTTTGAATATTAAGTCAACCTTGCATTCCTGGGATAAATTTTAATTGGTCAGGGTATATAATTCTCTACATATGTTGTTGGATTCAGTTTGCTAGTATTTTGTTAAGAGTTTTTATATCCATAAAAGATATTGTTCTTTAGTTTTTCTTACGATGCTTTTGTCTGGTTTTGGTATCAAGGTAATACCTCTTAAAATGAGTTGGAAAGTGTTCCTTCCTCTTCCACTTTTGGAAAGTGTTCCTTCCTCTTCCTCTTCCAATTTGTGAAGAATTGGCATTAATTCCTCTTTAAATAGAGTTCATCAGTGAAGCTATCTATACCTGGGCCCACATAAACATTGTGGATAGTTTTTATGGGTCTGTTCAGATTGTCTATTTTCTTAAGTCAGTTTCAGTAGTTTGTATCATTGTATTGAATAAAAATTCTCGCCCTTCTAGTGGTGCTAATGTTCATCAATAAATGAAAGCTAACATTTTAATCCAGTTGGATTTTGGTGTATATGTTTCCTATATTACTAAATAAAACACGTGCAAAAATCATTAACTTGAAGCCACAATATTGGAGAATAAATTTATCATGTAGTCAAAGATAAGCTAAATTAGAATTTGGTCTCCTCATCTCTATCTGTATCTCTACTGCTAACAAGTCAAAATGTTGAGTCCGCCTGCCGACGCAGAGGATGCGGGTTCGTGCCCTGGTCTGGGAGGATCCCACATGCCGTGGAGCGGCTGGGCTGGTGAGCCATGGCTGCTGAGCCTGCATGTCCGGAGCCTTGCTCCGCAACAGGAGAGGCCACAATGGTGAGAGGCCCGTGTACGGCAAAAAAAAAAAAAAGGATGATGGTTGGAGTAAGTGATCTCTTACCTAAAAATTCTATTATTTTGTGAAATGTGAGTGAATGTGAGAGAAATGTGAAGTGAATTTAATGTGAGAGTTAGAGCACAGTAAACAATTTGAAAAGAAAACTAGATAAATATATAAACTAATGGCAACTTCTGGTAAAAGTTAAAAAATGAGACTCAAGGGTGTGGTCAAAAGGGAAACCTCCTGCACTGTTGGTGGGAATGTAAATGGAAACAGCCACTATGGAAAACACTATGGAGGTTCCTTAAAAATCTAAAAATAGAACTACCATATTACACAGCAATCCCACTACTGGGCATATACCCTGAGAAAACCATAATTCAAAGAGCCATGTACCACAATGTTCACTGCAGCACTATTTACAATAGCCAGGACATGGAAGCAACCTAAATATCCATCGACAGATGAATGGATAAAGAAGATGTGGCACATATATACAATGGAATATTACTCAGCCATAAAAGGAAATGAAATTGAACTATTTGTAGTGAATTGGATGGGCCTAGAGTGTGTCATACAGAGTGAAGTAAGTCAGAAAGAGCAAAACAAATACTGCATGCTAACACCTATATATGGAATCTAAAAAAAACAACAAAAAAACCCAAAAGGTCATGAAGAACCTAGGGGTAAGATGGAAATAAAGACACAGACCTACTAGAGAATGGACTTGAGGATACGGGGAGGGGGGAGGGTAAGCTGTGACAAAGTGAGAGAGGGGCATGGACATATATACACTACCAAATGTAAAATAGATAACTAGTGGGAAGCAGCTGCATAGCACAGGGAGATCAGCTCGGTGGTTTGTGACCACGTAGAGGGGTGGGATAGGGAGGGTGGGAGGGAGGGAGATGCAAGAGGGAAGAGATATGGGAACATATGTATAACTGATTTACTTTGTTATAAAGCAGAAACTAACACACCATTGTAAAGCAAATATATTCCAATAAAGATGTTAAAAAAAAAGAAGGTATGGCATATATATACAATGGAATATTACTCAGCCATAAAAAGAAATGAAATTGAGTTATTTGTAGTGAAGTGGATATACCTACAGTCTGTCATACAGAGTTAAGTAATTTAGAAAGAGAAAAACAAATACCATATGCTAACACATATATATGGAATCTAAAAAAAAAACGGTACTGATGAACCTAGTTGCAGGGCAGGAATAAAGATGTAGACATAGAGAATGGACTGGAGAACACGGGGTGGGAGGGGGAAGCTGGGGCGAAGTGAGAGTAGCATCGACATATATACACTACCGAATGTAAAATAGCTAGGAAGCAGCAGCATAGCATAGGGAGATCAGCTCGGTGTTTTGTGATGACCTAGAGGGGTGGGATAGGGAGGATGGGAGGGAGGCTCACGAGGGAGGGGATATGGGGACATATGTATGCATATGGCTGATTCACTTTTGTGTACAACAGAAACGAACATAGTATTGTGAAGCAATTATACGCCAGTAGAGATCTAGTAAAAATAAAATAATAATGAGACTCATGTTCTTATGATATATAATAACTGATTTTAAATGACTGTTCTGTTTGAAATAAAGTCACTTCAAAATATAGTTAAAAGTCCACTCTCTTTCCTTTCTTAAAATGTTTGATATACAAATTAGGAATATCCATACATGGGGTGTTATATGATGGTCCATCTGAATTCATTAAATATAAATGTGTTAACATAAGTAATTCTTAAAAATAACTGAGTAAAAGTAAAGTAAGCTGCTACTGTACATGTATTTGAATTACATTTGTATAAATTAATACACAGAAAAGTACTATAAAAATGAGGATTATAGTTAGACACACTTCAGAACTGTAGTTATGCATGGAGAAGAAGGGAGTGTAGAAAAAATGGGGCAGGGTACACAACGAGCTTAACTAGGTCTAAAATTTTCCTTTTAAAAATATGTAAAACAAAAAAGACAATATTTCAATATTTAATAAATTTGAATGGGACTATTATGCACTTTTGTTGTATTTCTTATAGTCTTTTGTATACCTGAACTATTTCATAATATTGAAAAAAGAAAAGTTATCTGAAGTTTGTAGGAAACACTTCAGAAGTATGTATTCATGGAAAGAAAACATCTAAACCTCATGAAAATAAATATTTATTTTTTAATGTAATTGCTGATAATTTTTATTATGGGATAGTCATAATACTCACCATTTGATGCAGTAAAATCAATAGCCACTGTGAAATTGATTTGTGTTCTAAAATATAAGTAAATTAGAATCATTAATAACTGAATAACCTCATAAAAAGAAGTTTGATTTCCATTTTTGTTACATTTTTAACATCACTAATTTTCTTAAACTAGCAACTATGTTACAGCACACACTGAATAGTATCAGTTAGGCAGTTTTACAAGCTAAGAACCTGGCAAAATACCTTTACGATCATGCAACTGTAAAATACAAAATAAAGCATCAGGAATAAAAATAGCTCCTAGTTGAAAGCACAATAACTAAGTGAGGAGCTCATAATGAAGTCAAACTATAAATAATTATTTGCCAGTCTCCAATGTCAACATTTATTATTAATTTCTTTTCAAAACTATTCTGTAGTCGATGTGAAATTATTATGTCCTTAAAAGTATGGCATTGCTAAAATAATGTCTAATAATATCGTTCCTTAAACTAATTCCAACAATCCTGAAAACACAGGATTTTCTTTTGCTTTCTTCGGAACTCAAGTATTTCAAATACTGATCAGTGCTCAGCGCTCAGAGCATTCCTGTGTACTTGCGTGTATTTATAGATATGGATAAATATTTATATAGATGAAATTGTTACATATACTTAAAAATTTCAGCACATGGTAGTTACCCAAAATTATTTTACTGTATTAGTGGGTTTTTTTTTTCTTTTTTTTTCTGGTAGAAACCAAGGAGGTGGCATTCGCATTAAAAATTCACTCTTTTGGATATACCTCTAAGTCTTTCTATATGTAATTCCACTTTCTCACCAAAGAAGGCATAAAAACACAGATAAGTGACAATGATATAATTACTGGGATAACCTGTTGTCATATCTAATCTACAAAATAATTTTTAATTTAAAAAGTAAATAATTTGAAAACATGGTTGTTTAGACTATTTTAAATAACAAATTAATTTTGATACACTGTACAACTGATTTAACACTTCAAAGTTTGAGCTGTTATTTAAATGGTGGTGTGATGATGAAGAGGATGGTGATGATGATGGGTATGGCACTATAGGGTCCCTTGTAGTTCTCTTAGTATAAAGTATAGTAACATTTCCTTCTTTCTATAAAAATTCAGCTGAAAAACCCTTAATACTGCTCAGGTGTTGAAACAAATTCACGTTTTTTCCCTAAAGAATAAACAACCTTTGTTGCTTTACATTAATAAAAACTAATATAGATTCTCTTTATAGCTTATGGTAATTTTTTTCTCAGAGTAGAAATTAGGTTTAGAGGCTAAGAATATAGGCTAATTTGGAGCATAACACTTTTAGCACATAAAACTTTTAGAAAAAGAATCAGTGAAACATTTGGGAGAATATTTTGAGATAATAAATCCCTTTGAGGAACTGAAAAGAACAGTCACCATCAGGACATTGCTTTTTCATTCTGCTGCTAGAGAGAAAGTGACTATAATATAGGGTATAGTATGGTATATTAGAACGGGTTTATTAGCTTTTGAGTCTGAAAGGACGGGGTTTGAATTTCAGCAACCCAGTTGCTGACATTAGCCAAGTTTTAGAACTCTCAGAAGGCAGGTACCTGGCACATAACAATTAAGCAAGGACGGACAGAAAAACTACATGAAACATTATCTTTGTGTGTGTGTGTGTGTGTGTGTGTGTGTGTGTATATATATATACATATATGTATATATATATACATACAGACATACATATATATATAAAACATATACATATAGAATGTGTTTTTATATAGCTTTTATCAATTAACTTCATAATAATTTTTAAAGGAAGGTACTAGTATTCTCCTTTTATAGATGAGGAAATCTATGCTCATAAAACTTAACTTTCCACATAAGTAATAAATGCCAGTACTGGAATTCAAATTCACATATAACCTCCAAGACCATATTTATAAACTCTATGCTACTCTAATTGTACAATTAAATATTTGTGAACTGTCTGGTTATAATAAAACCACAATAAAGGATAGTGATTATTATGTTACAAACTGAAAAATGATACTATACAGATATCCTTAACGATAAAGATGCCAGGGCATAGTCTCATGCTTGAGCAAATCTGTCCTTCTTCTATCACTTATGTTATATACATAAATCACAAGATAATTGTTATAAATGCCTTTTTATGTTCTTTTACTCAAATGACACTTCCTTAGGAATGAAAAATAACTCTAAGCTTCAAGAACATGGCTTTTAGCACATTATAAAAGTCAATATAGCAGTTGTGTCTGGTTCAATCTTCCTTAGGTTTTAGGGATAGACACCTTGTTTTGGCTCAACTCTCTCTTATAGCAGTGTCTACTTTCTACATATTGGAACATCACTGTGTTTGTTGGATGAATGTGTTCATTTTATGACTGTTTCTAATATATTTTCCAAGGTAGCCCAGGATGTGTAGCACAAATACCAACTCCTTAGAAGCATTAGTTGTAGATAAAAAAACCTTCAATAATCAGAGATACAAAGGTCATTTCAAAGCCAGTTGTACCTAGCAAAGCTGCAAAGAAAAGATATGGCTACTAACTGAAGAAGTATACTGTATATAAGAATAAAAAATGAGAGAAAAGTATTTATTTACTGAAATCTTTAGCTAGCTAAACAAACCAAATTATAAAACCAAGTAGATTAGGTACAACAAAAAGTGTAAAAAGAAAAAAAGAGAAAATTTAGAAAGAAATGAAAGGAAGAGGAAGGAAAAAGGAAGGAAAAAGGAAAGAAGGGACAGAGGAGCAAGGGAGGAAGGAAGGAAGGCAGGAAGGGAGGAAGGAAGGGAGGGGGGAAGGAAGGAAGGGAGGGAGGAAAGAAAGAAGGAAAAAAGAAATAAAGAAAGAAAGGAGGGAAGAAGGTGGGGAGCCAGGCTGTACCAAGAGTACCTATGAAGCTTGAAGCTTGGGACATTCCAAAACAATACAAAAGGCAGGTGCATTTAGCACTAAATGATAACTAAGACCATTTGATAATCATGGTGCAACAGAAAATCTCAACAAGTAAAACAATCGTTGATGCATATTTGGTGGTTAATTGATTTCAAGATTTGATTACTTCCTTGTTTCATTCTGCATATCAGAAAGAATCTCACTCCTTTACTGTGTTGAATCAACAGTATTCTAATCAGAAGGGAAATATGATGGCTCACAAATCATTTCATGGTTGTGATAGTCCCTTAACCTATTATCACACCATTTGGATTTTTCCATATAAAAAACTACAATTCAACAATTATTTATTGAGCATCTTCTGATTGTCAAGCACTGTGTTAAGTGATAAACAGAAAATGGGAGCAAAGCAAACACTATCATTGAACTCATAGAGCTCAATTTCAACTTTCCACAATTAAAAACAATGACAAAACAGCACAGCAGATTATCATGTAATTCACAATCAATAGCCTAACTTAAAACACAGCTGTGCATTTACTGTGGATAACAGCTTGTTCATTCCCATGATTCTTAAACGTTCTCATTCATATTATAATGTATACTTATTATGCCAAGGGCCACATTCTATGTATTTTGAAAATATTAGCTAATAAAAGTTTTAAAGAAAGTTGCTAGCAATACTACAACTTTAGGCTAAAACAGATTTCTTGAAGACTCTGATAAATGATTTGTCATAAAATTAAAATAAATCTTCATCAGTAATTGTTACCTTTTTATTTTTTTAAATTTATTTACTTTACCTTTAATAGTTTTTGAAACCTAATGTTAGAGAAAAAAGAAGCAACCATGAGTCAAAGTTAAAAAACAACAACAACAACACAACTGAATTCACATGAAATTTCTCTTGACAGAGTATTCATAAAGCTATCACATATAAATCCTTGAGACATTTTGCTTAGGAAGTGTTACTGTAGCTCTCATTTTATGTTTTAGAAGTAGACAAAAAAGAACAGGATTTCAAGAAACCCAGATAGTATAAAAAAGGCACAGCTATAAATTTTCATGAGTTAGTAGTAACATCTCATGACACTTCCCAATGCATATGCCCTAGTACTACTGAAATATATTCTTGGAAAATGTCCTTATTTCATTCTGCCACCTTTCTGAAAGTTGTGAATGACAGATAAATCAGATGTTAATGTGGAAATCTTAACTAGCACATCAAAGATACATAGAAAACATATGTGCATGTCAAAGAAAGCTACACATACACACATGTATGCACACACACAGAGTGATACCATCTTAGATAACTTTTCTACAGCTGTTATGAATTAATAATCAAGAACTAACAATTGTGATGGGGATGTGCAGAAGGATTGTTTCACTTTCTTCCCAAATTCAAATTCTGTTCAATTGAACAAACTGAACGTTATCCAACATGAAAGATGAAATTTCTCCACCTTTCTTTAAATTAATCTTGACAAAGGCTGATTCAGACCAACTATCTATTGGAATCTAGAACCCTAAATGAAGTTGAGATGCCCACCCAACTCTAATATTCTTTTCATTCTTGCCTTGCCGATACCGAGACTATGCTTCTGCCTTGATTTACTGAGATGCACTCTAGCTCACCCTTGGGTTCTGGAACCTGCCCTGAACTCAGGTTCACTTCCTCAGGGACTATTATCCAGCCTAATCCTTCTTGACCCTAGCTCACCATGGGTTAAACCTTGAACTTTTCTGCCTTGCCTTTCCCTCTTTTTTTCTTTTTTTTTTCTTTGCGGTACGCAGGCCTCTCACTGTTGTGGCCTCTCTTGTTGCGGAACACAGGCTCCGGATGCACAGGCTCAGCGGCCATGGCTCACGGGCCCAGCTGCTCCGCGGCATGTGGGATCTTCCCGGACTGGGGCATGAACCCATGTCCCCTGCATGGGCAGGCGGACTCTCAACCACTGCGCCACCAGGGAAGCCCTCCCCTCTTTCTTAAAAGCAGTTCAACTACCTGAATGACAACACAGACAGCTGCCTGACTCTAAATTTTGCTACATCTTCAAAATTCCAGATTCCTGTGCCCATAAACTACTGACAGGATTATTTGCCCTTGACAAGTGAGGTCTGCTAGAATGAGGGCAGGCTTT